CAAAACACTTTACTATGGATTAGCGGTGTTCTGATTCCGGTGTCTTGGTGTCCCGAAGGTGAAGATGTTCCTCCGGTTCTCGGAGGCAGTGCGTGGAGAGAATTAACAGCCTTGCACATGGTCAACGGAAGGATTGTTGAGACTCGGTGATGCCATGTGTAGAAGCAACACATCCGCAGTACCATATGAAAGATAAATTCGGTAGTGTTGCTTCTTCCTCATCTAACGGAGTACAGGCTGGGTCGCAGGAGGAGCCAATGCCTCAACCCACCTTTCAAGGGGGCAGTTCCTTAGTTCCTGAATATTGAATAGGCCATAAGCACCCCTCGGGTGTTGATGCAGCTGGTCGAGCATATCACGCGTATCTTTGGTACATGCTGCTGGTGTTTTGAAGGAATCTTCAATTTAGGTATTTTCGATAGTTTAGGACCAAAGTTGTATCCCTGTTTTTTAGTGGTCTAAGGGGTGGATGGATTGCTTTGAGTCGTGGAGCTTTCTCACCTCACTGTGGTTGAAATTACAACAATGTACTCTAAGTTGGGCTGCATTCGAGTGAGAAATCAACTTGTGAGTGTTCCAAGGTGTTGATAAGATGCATTGTTGTATATGTGGTAGAATTTCAATGTGGTATAATATCATTATATCATTTCTTGGTTAATGAAAAATTGATGTTGAGCCAAAAAAAAAAACTACGGCTGTTGTGCAGGTTGCTTGGGGCCGGATATCGATCGCTGTTGTGCAGGTTGTTTTGGGCCAGATATCGATGGTTGATGCTGAAATAAGGCTATTGGCTCATGCTCTTATTGATCCTGATAACCAACACTTTGTGTTGCTTTCAGATAGGTAGGTGACTGAATAAATCTTTTCTTATAATATTGTGTAGCTAATCATACTTCACCATCTTGTCTGTTTTGAGGATCTTGGAACCACATGGCAATGGTCGGTATTCTCAACATATGTTGGATGTTCTCTGTTTCGAAAAATGATGGAAAGATGTAACATATATTAAGAACCTCTAAAAGGTTCTTCCATTGGAGCATAAAAAAATTAATTCAAATACAAAGGTTCTAAACTTTTCAAATCACATAATTAATTATTAAATTAGTTATAAGTGCTCCTAATGGGTTCTTACCATTGGAGTTCGCTCTCATATGTATAAAATTATCGGTAGGTACGAAGTCGGAAATACTGTGGCATTATATAATAGATGAGAGTTATTAAATTGTTTGTGGTTAACGTGGCTAAGATTCATTAATAATTAAATAGCGTCACGAATAGTTATTATAATACCTGACGTTAACGTTGCCAACCATTTTATCATAACAAAACAAATGTCGATTAAAATCGTAATTAACGATTTTTTGTATTGACTACTGAGTACTGACTAATCCAGAAATACAGGTGCTCTTCTCTATAAAAGACGAAGCGTTCATCTAGTTTTATTCGTCAAACAACTAAAAGAAAAACATGTCGACTAAAATAAGCTCATCGATCCTAGTGGTCAACAAAAAATACACCGAAATGGTGAAACCCCCAAAACACATTCCTTCACACACTCTTTGCCTTTCAACACTTGACAATGATCCTAACAACGAAGTTATTTACAAGACATGTTACGTTTTCAAAGCCAAGAACGTTGTTGATGATAATAACAAGCCGGAATCTTTGGTTAGGGAAGCTTTGTCTAATCTTCTTGGCTACTACTACCCACTCTCGGGAACTTTGAAGCGAACTGATCGAAAGCTTCAGTTGAACTGTGGCAGCGACGGAGGTGGTGTGGCGTTCACCGTGGCTACTGCTAACGTAGAGCTTTCTTCTTTAGAGTATCTAGAAAACATTGACTCAGATTTTGCCTTAAAGTTCTTGCCAGAGCTTCAAATGGATAAGGATGGTTATTCCCCTTTTGCCTTGCAGGTATAAAAACCATTTATGATTCGTGTAAGCAAGATGGTTACATGCATCCTTATATAACGTTTGAACGTAGATGCATAGAAATAGCTAGGACTATAACTTATATTGGTTATATCTGATATTGTTTAATAGAAATATAATGTAAGAGTAAGTGGATTTGTATTTTGAAACTTTACCATATTAGTAAATACCTAAAATGTGAGAATGAAAACACCTTTAATGGATACCAATGATGATGCAGGTGACCAAGTTTGAATGTGGAGGATTCATCTTAGGGATGGCTATGTCGCATGCAATGTGCGATGGATATGGAGAGGGACATATCATGTGTGCCTTGGCGGAGTTGGCTGGCGGAAAGAAGAAGCCGACGGTGACGCCGGTTTGGGAAAGAGAGAGACTTGTGGGGAGGCCTGAAGAAAACAATCAAGCTCCCTTTGTTCCTGGAGGCGACTTAGCTGCTTCACCCTACTTACCTGCTGATGATTGGGTATGTGTACAGAACAAAGATCACTTAGTTTGAAAATATCATAAGATTTGGAAAGAAACTACACATAGAGTGGTAATAAAAAATCTTGAAATTCCCCCAAGTAAATTAATGTTTACAAATGATCTCGGACCCTTTCATACGAGTTTATGACAAAAATAGGAAAAACCTTATGTGGTATTATTGGAGTATTTTAAGTTGTAATATATTTGGAGTATTGACTAGCGGTTAGATAAGTAGCAAGGTGTCATAGCTACCAAGGTTCAACTTTACTTAGAATGGATGATTCACGCCGTGGTATAATGGAAAGGTATTATCAAATGTGTAGTACTGGGTTGAGTAATGTATGCCTGCCCTATGGGGTGGTCACTGGGAATATTCTTAATTTTTGAGTATCTAACAAACAAAAATGATATTTAACAATTTTTATATGTTAAGATTTTCATTTAAGAGTATTTCAAAATATCTCAAATAAAATATATTGATGACTATTTTAACATATACTCATTTTATTAAATTCTAGTTTTTTTTTTTTTGCTTTCAGTTCCAAACTTTGAAACTAAAAAGCATATGAATATATTAATACTACATATCTTTTAGAATTGTGATGTTGTGGTAAAAGAAATCTCTTAAGTAATTTTCCCTGGAAATCTATAACGATTATGACTTACTGACAGAAACATTTATCAAAAGTCGTTTTTACTTAAGTATTCTCTTTTCTATTTTAAAAATTATATTTCTAACTTTACCATTTTTGATATATGTAATCAGGTAAGTGACAAGATAAATGTTAGAGTTGAGTCCATAAGAAGATTAAAAGAAGCTACACGGAAAGAGTGTGACTTCTCTAATGAGACAGTAACTACTTTCGAAGTCATAGGAGCTTATTTGTGGAAGTCAAGAGTTAAAGCTCTGAGTTTGAACCGAGATGGAGTCACAGTTTTGGGTTTTTCTGTAGGAATCCGAAACGTAGCGAATCCACCTTTGCCCGATGGATACTACGGCAATGCGTACATAGACATGTACGTCTCATTAACAGTTAAAGAAGTGGAAGAACATACCATCTCAGACATCGTGAAGTTTATAAAAGAAGCAAAGAGAAAGGCTCGCGACAAAGACTATCTCAAAGAAGAGCTTGCGAACACTGAAAGTATCATTAATTTGAACTTAACGATCACAGGTAGGAAAGATGGGTTCTTTTGTTTGACGGATTGGAGGAACATTGGTATTTTTGGATCGATGGATTTCGGGTGGGGTGAGCCGGTGAATATTGTCTTTGTTGTCCCACCAGAGACAGCTAGAATGGTTAATATGTTCATGCCAGCGTCGAGATTAGAACCTTCGATGGTCGGAGGAGGGCTTCAAGTCATGGTGACATTGCCAAGAGCTGCAATGGTAAAGTTTAGAGAAGAGATGAATGCTCTAAACTAAAACTTCTTTCTTTCTTTTATGTGGGACTCAATAAATTGACATGAATAAATTATAAAAGAAGATTACATCTAATGTTGCTGAGAACAATGTTAGATGATTACTTTTGTTTTATATAAGCCGATGTTTTACGTGAGTGTTGGTAAAAAATTTGACGTTGCAGATATTAATTTTACTAATTATCAGATTAGATTCGATTTGATTTTCTCAATTCAGTTTGGATTAGATTGTAACCAATATCTGAAATCACCCAAAAAAATATTTGTTAAACATTAGAAGTTGACAAAAAAATCAAAATATTTAAACTATTAATAAATCTAATTTAAAATTAGTTAAATTATCTAAACAAACTAAAAGATATTAAAAAAGAATCAAATAAAACAAACTACAAAAATCTTTTGAATACTATAATTTGTATCTATTAACCTCAAACCTTTTCACTGAAACTTTTAAATTAACATATTTATAGTATGAATATCTACTAATGATACTTCATATTCGTACGATTTATGATAATTTTTATCTTCTTTGGAAAAAAACAAAGTTAAACCATTGATCATAAAATTTTCAATGTGGGATTTTACTATTTTAGTTATTTATGGTCGTTTTAAAAAATTAAAAATATAACCTATAAGAAATTTTTTTTTATTATATATTTAAATGTGATTGTTTAATTTATTTTAATAATTTAAAATTAAACAAAAAGAGAGAGGATACAAAAATATGTATTATTCATAATCATTAATTACATATATATGTTAATCATATTAGGTAATTCCGTAACTTTTATTTAAGGAAATAAAATATATTGTTTTATACCTAATAGAGTTGGTCCCTTAAAAAATGTCTATATATTATAGTCCTAAATGAAAGAAATTAAATGTTACATTATTTTATTCCTAGCAAAGTTGGTCCATTAAAAAATTAAAGCTGAGAAGCTCTGTGAGCTTGACACGTAAACATGCTCTCCAAGCATGTGCATTTATGAATGCTTCAGGATTAATATATAAGGGATTTTGTATATATATAGACATATGGAAAGATTGATTTCAAAGAAACTTCTCCAACTTAATATGTACCATCATAAAGACGAAAAGGGTAAATGTCAACAATGATTTAGGTGTTTCTAGCTACATGGAAACTGTACATGGGGTTGAATTTTGATGTCAAACTAAGTAAAATATATAAGGGCTATTTAATTTTTAATGTATTTTGATATATGGTGTTTTTAGCATATTCTAACTATGTTTTCTAAAGTGTTTTTGAGTCTTTATCGAGTCTTTTTAGTCCTTTTTAAGTCATTACAGGTATGGAGTTGCATTTGGATGGAAGATGGACCAGTTGGAGAAAAAGATTGCAATTTGATGATTTTCACGAAGAACAGTCTGCAAACTGTTCCCGAGTAAGCGGAGCAGCCTGAAGCCATGTTCCCGCGGCAGAGATTTTTAAGGAAATCTTAACTTATTTCGGGATTTGCCCTAATTCTCCTATTTTTCTCTCCCAGCCGCCAGCAAACTCCATATATCTTCTTTTCCTCTTTTCTATTATTTTCTACGCTACTTTTTTACAGAGAAACAACTCTAGAGCTTTTGGATTATTGTGATTTCAATACTTTGAAACTTTGAGGGAGAAAAATCTCTACAACCTTTGGAGAAGATTTTTAAACCCTCTTACTTATTATTTATTGATTCAGACATGTTTTCTTCATCTATTGACTCTGTGATTTCTCTGTCTATGGCTGAGTAGTCGCTTGTTAGGTTTAGGGTGTTAGGGATCATGGATCAATGAGCTAGACACAAATAGGATGGTTATTCTTTGATATCTCTATCTATTGCTATACTTACTGCTTGTGTTAAACTGGCCATTCAACATCTGATATAATCTAATCATCAAAAGTGTTTTAGGTTGCTAGAAAAGGCATAGATAGGCGATTTGTCCCTAGCCAGCGAGAGTAGATGTTAGGGCAATTCGTGAACCAATTGAACCTGACCTTAATGCTTGTCATCAGTGTCTAATCCAAACGATAGTTTAGGTATTAGGATTGTTTGATAAATTGATAGACACCACGACAGTGGGTNTCAAAAGTGTTTTAGGTTGCTAGAAAAGGCATAGATAGGCGATTTGTCCCTAGCCAGCGAGAGTAGATGTTAGGGCAATTCGTGAACCAATTGAACCTGACCTTAATGCTTGTCATCAGTGTCTAATCCAAACGATAGTTTAGGTATTAGGATTGTTTGATAAATTGATAGACACCACGACAGTGGGTTTATTTAACCTCGTTGTTCAAGTTCTAGATTGGCTCTTATTGCTTTCCTGAATAGTTGTGTAGTTCATGATCCTAAGTATCCCGATGAATCATCCTAAACCTAGCTCTTTTATAATCTGAAACCAAAACCAATTTGTTACTTGCTTTTTACATTTTTTTTTTATTTTAAAACCCCATATTGTTTTAGCTTAATATTGATCCTAAAATAATAAAGTGTAAAATTTGGTCTTTGTGGATTCGATCCTCAAGTACTACATCGAACCTCTTATTTGAGAGAGTAGCTTGAAGGTTAATTTGAGCATATCATATTTCCAAACAAATTTCTGACATGGATTATCATAGTGAACTCATATCCTTATAATTTTTCATGAGTAAAGCTTTGGGATGTTCCATATAGCTCACATGGATTTATACAAAACTAAATATTACATGCAAAATTGAAAGAACAGGTGTTTACCAAAATCAGCTATGTGAAAGTTTAGGAGCCATCTATTGCTCAATGCTTGTTAGGGTTCATGCAGATCAAATACATACACTCATAACAAAATAACCTCAAGCCATCATTTTAAACAAAACATAAAAAAAATTTGTATCGGAATAATCAACATATGTATATTTATATTTGAAAGGGATTACATACGTGCATAATCAGATAACCTCTCTATAACAGCTGTGAACTTCTGTAGACTCAGGTATGGATCCATGATCCTTCCCACTTTCAGAAACGAACCATGGTGATGACCAGTGGAGTCTGTATCATAACCACTCTCCTCATTTTCTTCATCAACCCTCTCAAGAAAGAAAATGAGCATCCTATAGACAGTATCCACATCGTACATGGACTATTTCCTTCCTACAGAAGGTAAAGCAGATCATCAAGTCTCAAGCTTTATATCAAATCTGGATCTCAAATAATAATTCCAGCCCTACCCTTTTGATGTCATTTCAGGCTAACCTATAACTCATGTTTTGCGTTAAAAACATGGCATGTAGAACTATTCCTTTAATTTATTTTGTTTCATCTTTAAAAACTTTTTTTTTTTTTAAACACAAACTTATATTAAAAACTCCTCAAAATCTAGGTAATACAATTGAAAGAAATCTCATTTGCCAAACTCTGTTTTGCTAATCCATCAGCTTAACTATTTTTCACTCTGGAGATCCAGCGAAAAGAGATGTTATCAAAGGAGTTTGCGAGTGAAACGAAGTCAGCGATAATGGAATTGAATTTAAAAACTAACTAAAACATCATTGTTATTAGTTTTTATAGTTTCATATAGAAACTAAAATTTAAAACACTTGGTACAACCCAACCAATCATGGATTTGAATAATGCAAAACTATCCCCACTATGATTATTCCCAGTTTTCTTAAATAACATAAAATTAATATATTTGCTGGCCTATATGCTTTAATTAGTTTTTCTTATACAAATACATGAATATATTTGCCAGCCTAAGATGATTTCGAAAAATCGATTCACACGTTTTCTAGGCATTGACTTGTGTAATTCTTTTTACAAATAAAATCAACTCGTTTCTCTCGCATGAGCTACATATTTTTCTAAACAGGTTGAGGTAGTTTATCTATTGTATTGCTCTATATATAATAAAACCCTGAAATTTAGGTGCATGAAGGGATTAAAACTAAACATGAATCTAAAATCAGAGCTGAATGATCTAGAGGAATTGACCTCAAATGCGAAGCAAATACAAGACGATATGGACGGGATGGTGTAGCTTGGTGGTAAAAACCTTGGAGGCCAATAGTCATGCCCCCGGGTTCGACGCCACAGGGAGGCGAACTATCCATCTATGTCATAACAATGCGGTACTGGGTGTTGGGCCTTGTCCTCAGCCCAGGTTTAAAGCCCTCCCGGGTGAAAGTGGACCACTGCCTAACCGGGCCCAGAGGAATGATCCACGTAAGTGGGGAACCTCTGAATTATCAAAAAAAAAAAAAAAAAAAAAAAAAAAAAAAAAAAAAAAAATACAAGACGATATGTTGGAAGAGATACTAAGAGTTAATGCAAACACAGAGTATCTTCGATCCTTTCTTCATGGGAGCTCTCATAAAGAGCTTTTCAAGAAGAACGTACCAGTGGTGACTTATGAAGATGTTAAGCCTTATATCGAACGTGTGGCTAATGGAGAACCCTCAGATGTCATTTCTGGCGAACCTATTACTCATTTTTTCATAAGGTATACGTTGTCAAATTACAAATAGTAGTTTTACTATATGATCAACTAGCTCTTAAACTTAAAAAAAAAACAGTGACATTTGTGACCTCATTGGTGCGTGTAGTTCTGGAACTACGGGAGGAAAACAAAAGATCTTCCCTGTTAACAATAAGTACTATCAGAAGAGGATATTTAGCGAAGATCTACGCTGCTCTATTTTAGCCAAGTAACTCTTCACATAAACATTTCCTCCATTTAATTAATTATCATTACTTGGTCGGTATGGGGTTTAGTTTCGGCCTAGGTGGTTAACATGGTGGGCCGTAGGTCCACCCGCATTAGTGAAAAGTATTTCAAACTTAGATCAGACAATTTGGTATGCTTTTAGACTAATGCACTTTGTAACACTAAGTCTGTTTCTCCCGGTGCCGGATGAGCCGCTAAGGCATATACAAAAAATAGTATTTGTTCCTTCCATCCCAAGGAATCATAGTGAGCGATTTTTTTCCGGTTTATAGGCATATCAATGGCGTTGTGGACGGAAAGGTGATACCATTTCTTAACACTAGAGCAGTGTCCAGAACTCTCTCTGGTCTGCCTGTTGGTCCTGTAATTACGAGCTTCTTAGTGAGCGAAAATTTCAAGAACTGGTCATCCAAACGTTACACCAGCCCTGACGAAGTCATATTATGTACTGACATCAAACAAAGTACTTACTGTCATTTTCTTTGTGCTCTTATCCAGAGAGAGGAGGTCGTGAGTATTTTTGTTCCATATGCTTGTGCGTTAGTCCAAGCAATCAAATTTCTTGAAACTCACTGGAAAGAATTGTGTACTAATATTCGATCTGGTCATGTTAGCGAGTGGATTACCGACCTGGGTTGCAGAGACTCTGTCTCCGTCATACTTGGAGTACCTAATCCTGAGTTAGCAGATCAGGTTGAACGTGAATGCTGTCAGAGATCGTGGGAAGGTATCATCAAACGTCTATGGCCTAACATCAAATTCATTCAAAGCGTAGTTACAGGACAGATGAGTCATTTCATTCCAGTTTTGGAATTCTACTCCAACAATTTGCCTCTGGTCTCCATGAGCTATAATGCTTCTGAAACATTGTTAGGGATTAATGTGAATCCTCTATGCAAACCACAAGACGTTTCTTATACATTTTTGCCCAACATGTCCTACTTTGAGTTCCTACCTCTTGATGATGAAGGAAACAACGCTGAAGTAGTTGATCTCGTGAACGTCAAGTTAGGGCACTTTTATGACCCCTTGGTCACAAATAATTATGGTGAGTTTTATACATATCTATACTATTATTTAAGAAGTAAATTTGCTTAGTTGTCATGTTCTCCATAATTTTAGGTAATTTTGTTTATTTATCATATTTTTCATATTTATATATATTTATTTATAAATAAAACGAATTTATATGAATATATCATATTTTTAGTAAATAAGATAATTATTGTGAATTATGTTGTTATCTCTAAATATATTTTTATATATAAAAATTAAATTTTAAATTAAGATATAAACACTATTATATTTATTTAAAAAGAATTTATATTAATAATTTAATATTTAAATATAATTAAAATGAATTTATATTCATAATTTAATATATTTCTAAAATAAGATAATTATTATGGATTATGTTGTTATGTTGAAAATATATTTTCCTATTATAAAACTTCAAATTAAAATATAAAATTATATTAATAATAATTAAATATAAATAATAATTAAATATAAATCATCAAAACAATTATTTGAAAAGTGAATTTTGTTGAATTGTCTCCATGATACTAGGAAGTTTTGATCATTTATCAGAATTTCTATAATTTTGTTTATTATTGATTATATAATTAAAACTAATTATTATTAATAATATGA